GGAAATTGCTAATTGGAACCTGAAACATAGAGAAATCCAAGCATCAGCTTCAAAATCAAATCTCAAAAGAGCTTATGAAGCAGTATAACACTTAAGCCTAGTTCTGCTATTTGAGATCAGTAGACTGGTTTAGAGACCAATTCATCCAGGTAATAGACTCAAAAAGCTCCCTAAAACAACTCTTTTGGGCAATGGTCCCACCAGAATTTCCAAAATCGCTCAAATTGTCTTTGATATTGGACAATCTAACAGCTGTACATGAGATCATTAGTTAACTTTCTCTTGAAAGATGAGAAGTTTAACCCTCAACCTGGTGACATCACCACACCTGGATCCATCTATGGTTTCATATACAATTAAAAGCCTATTAATGCAGGTAGGTCTAATATATACATTTGATTAGTACATCAACAGCAGGTGCTAAAATTGGGAGAAGGAGTATGGAAACATTTGAATGGGGATTGGTTTAGCAATTAAAGTAAATAAAATCATGGTTGTATGCAAAACAAATCATTGGAACTCAATAGGTCTAATGGAATAAAACTCTAATTCACAAATATTCAGTGGAGAAATTTTATCTAGCACACACTTTTCCATTCGTTCATCAACTGTAAGATAAAATGCTGAGACATCAGAGCAATCTGTGGCAGGAAAAATATCAGAACTATATCATGCTTCAAGTATCAAAGTCTCCAGTGCATGTTAGTGAAACAGTTATAAAACCACAGAATGTTGCTTATGAAATTTGTATTGATTCTGTATCAGAATATTTCAACCCATGAAGTTGGCAGGATTGAAAATTCACAAGGATTCAAATATCAGGAAATGGAAAAGCTTGGATTTTTGGAAGAAGTTATTGGAAGTTGGAAAATCAAATGACAGGAAGACTAGGAATATATGAAAGAAAAATATAGGTAAACATGATTGACAAGAGCAACACGAGGAAACAATATAATATTGGGAAAATGTAAACGAACCACTGTTTTGAAGCAACATCAAAATTTCTTAAAGCAGAACAATAGATGCTGGATATTCTGTCCAAAGCAGAGCGTGAGACATTGTTGAAAGGTTTGGAAAGGAATGGAAGAGACAACAGACAAAAGCAATCACAAGACAATCATAAGCAAGTTAGTTGACAACTTGTCTCATCAAAAGCAACTTAACCCAGATGGCAAGAAATCGAGGATAAAGAGTTTTAAATAATTCAGAGACACTGTCTTTTTTCTCTGTTGAGAGATTTCAAATTTTTATATTTACCCAGACTAATATTAAAAACATCTTATCGGAACCTGGGTAGTTTTTGCTTCCTTAATTTTACCTAACTTCATGGGACTTGCAGGTACATTTTACTGCAACTTTATAAGAGTTAAAGCATTACATTGAGAAGAAAATAAAAAAAAGATCTATAAATTCTAGACCAGTATTTTTCAAACTTGGCAACTATAGATTGTGTGGAGTTAATGCCCAGAATTCCCTAGTCAGCATGCTGTCTGGGGAATTCTGGGACTGAAACTCTACACATCTTAAAGTTGCCAAATTTGAAAAACACTGGATTACATGGATAGGAATTGAGTCCTAAAGTCAAAGGGACTAAGTTAAAATTGAATTAAGCTTGTATATTTTAAATAATTTTATAAAATAGAAGCTTCTGCCAGTTGTGGCCTCTGCTGTCACTGCAATTTAGTAGTTTGGCCCTTCTTTAGAGGGTTGAATTTCCTGGATTGAGATTTTCAGCAATGTTTTATATAGGTTCAATCACTTCTTCCTAAGGCATCCATATTTAATTTCATGACTGTTTTCTCAAACCTGTATCATGTCTTGAAATACTTGAGGGAATAGGACTATCTGAATTACCAATCTTTGCCTATTTTATTATATATAACCATAACTGAGGTAGCTTGTTTTACCTTGATGCTGATGGATTTCATACAAATTAAGGAATTTAATAATGGTGAAGACGGTCCAGTGTGTCAGTTTTAATGGTTTGGAACAATAGGTTTAGGTTTTCTCCTTAGAATAACATACCGCAATAATAATACCAAAAAATGATGATGCGATAATATGTGACTATAAATAACACTTATTTAAAAATGGGCAAAAATTCCACTGTCACAAATGGAAATATGAAAAAAACAACAACAACCAACTCCAGAAGTAATATGATCTTGCTTGGTTACATAAAATAAATTAAAATAAAATCTTAACAACTCCTTTAAACTTTGCCATTTTTGAAAAGTAATATAACCCTTTTTCAAAGAGTCAGGAGCCACATGCAATTATTGTGAGTGTTTGAAAAGCTCAGGAAAACTTTATGCATTGAAACATGATTTGAGAAGCATAGAAATTTTAACATCAGGAAAGTCTGATCATAACCAAAAAGTAATTTGTGATTGTGTCCAGCTCATTTATGAATGTTTTGTGATCCTTAAAATGAAGCATTTTCCTTAGCCCTAAAGGAACCTGATAAGTGGCAGCTGAGTTATAATTCAGTGTGCCAAATATACTGTTAAAGTGCTTTATATTTTATTGGATGTTCAGAAGAAAGGAAATCTAGGAAGATTTAATCTAGATGTTCACACAATGTATTAGAATTTATACTTTAAGCTTTTTCAATGATGAGGCATTTTCAAAGCTATTCAAAAATATCATTTTTGAACAAGTGATATAAAAGGGTCTTCTCAGACCAGATCAGAGGCTGCTAATATGTACAGCAGTGTTTCTCATCATTGGCAACTTTAAGATGTGTAGACTTCAGCTTCCAGAATTCCCCAGTTAGTAAATTAGTTGCAGGATTGAGTTATGAAGTGTCTTTTAGACCACTGGTGATGGCTGGGAATTATGATGGAAGTCATAGGACCTAGTTATCTTTGAGACCGCCTTCTGCCACCGACGACCTCCCATCGACCCGTGCGCTCCCACAGAGAGGGCCTCCTCGGGGTGCCATCAGCCAAGCAATGCAGGCTGGTGACCCCCAGGGGGAGGGCCTTCTCTGTGGGGGCTCCCACCCTCTGGAATCAGCTGCTCCCAGAGATAAGGAGAATCCAAGACCTCCGTGCCTTCCACCGCGCCCTTAAAACTTACCTTTTCCAACAAGCCGGGCTGGCCTAACAAATTTTTTAAATGATTTTAAATTCGGTTTGTCTTTTTAAATTTTGGGCCAAATTGAGATATTTCCTTTTAATCTGTTCTTAATGTATTTATTATGTATTTTTATTTGGCTGTACACCGCCCTGAGTCCCTAGGGAGAAGGGCGGTATATAAATTTGAAGTAAAATAAAATAAATAAAAATGTTGCCACTCTGCAGCTCAGTTGATCAAAAAAAGAAAAATCAGGCTGATTTATGATGATTACATTACATGGAATAGATCAGGACTAAGTTTCCCTGGTCTCTGATAAAATAATACTAGGCTAGCAGCATCGGATTTATTTATCCATCAGTATGACCTGTATTTTACAAGCTCTAAGTTTGGAGCCCTATTTTGGACCATGTTCTTTTGAGCCTGGGGTCACTTCAGCAACAGCTGCTCAAACAGGGAAAAAGGGATACAGCATACAGGAATTATGCATGATAGACATAACTGCAAGCATATTATGTTGAATGTTTAGCTCATGAACTTTTAGACATCCAGTGGTTATTGCACTGGGCCATGACATTCTATTTTTGGGCTTTATGTTTACAGCACAATCCAAAATTAGCTAGGCATTTATAGCAGAGACTTCATTGACTGGAGAATGAAGAATGAAAATGGAGATTGAGAAGACTGCGGCCTAATTTGTAGGTTATTTTTCCAAAGCTTCTCCATCCTCAACTACTGCCCAGTAAAAGTAATTAGAAGCTTAAACAATAAAATTATATGCCCTTAGAAAGCAATCTAAAAGGTGTCACAATGGAAAGAATAGCCAACTGAAAGTCCCTCGCATTGTCCTACCTACCTACTGAGCATGTTTGAAGGAAAGGTCAGAGTTTGGGAGAGATTTCTGAGGGGAGCAATGTGTAACAAATACTACATACTTTCTCCACAAATATCTGGTTCTCATTTAAAATGATTTGGCTACATATTTTTATAGCAAATGCAATTCCTTTTCTTCTGGGAGTTGCAAGTTATCTTCTTCTCAGATTTTCCTTCTTTTTTAACCTGATGCTTTACTCTGATTCTTTCCATCTAGGACCCAGAACTGAATCTTCCCTGGCCTGGAAATAACAGGTGGGACAAGGATCAGGAGCAGTGGTGAAATCTAAATTTTTTTACCACTGGTTCTGTGGGTGTGGCTTGGTGGGTGTGGCAGGGGAAGGATACTGCAAAATCTCCATTCTCACCCCATTCTGGGGACAGCCAGAGGTGGTATTTGCCGGTTCTCTGAACTATTCAAAATTTCTGCTACCAGTTCTCCAGAATCTGTCAGAACCTGCTGGATTTCACCCCTGATTAGGAGTCTTATTTAAAGGACTTCCTCCTCTGTCATTTCCTCTGGTTCTTAAAACTGAATTAATAGTAGCTCTCCAAGGACTTAAGAAGAGAAAGCACATGAACAATTGATAACTTACATTAAGTATTAGACATCTCAACCCCAGGCTAAAATTAATGACCAAAAGATAAGGCAAGTTTGGATTGATTCCATCAGTAAAGTGACTGTTCACTAACTTGATCAAACTGATCATTAATTCATTGATTCATTTTCTATAGCCATCCATTTCATGACTCTGAAATTAATGAACTGCTCATGTACATGAAAAATGAGAGTTTTTTTTAAAAAAGTCTTTGTGATATGAAATAAAAAGGAAATGCAAAATATAGTTTCCTTGCTGTTTATTGTAATAATTTTTGCTGACTGAATTCATACTTTTCACCAAAATATGAAAAACTACCTGACATTGTTTCTGACTGTCAAAAGATAGTTGTGCTAAATTAATAAAAAGTCCTCTATTAACACAAAGGCTAGTTAATTAGGGAGACTCAGCTTAAGCCTTCTGTGGGGGATAAAGTGATGCTAATACTGCTTTTGATCTTGTGGAAATTTTATTCTGGATCAGTGATGAGGCGATGGCTCCTGCACAGTCCATTGCTGTCCTTTGTGCATCCCCTTGAAAATAGGAAAGAAATACTGAAGTCTGCACAGGATATCGCCCAGCAGATTCAAAAGAGTCAAGAACGCAGCTGTGACCATACAATTAAACCCCAACCTCCCCCCCAGCAATGCAATGGATGTAAAAATGGGGTGGGCTTTTGATTACACTGTTGCACCTGCCATCTTGACTTTTCTCAAGCTGCCCGTCCCTGCTTCAGGGGAAGAGACCATCCCGTTGTAGACATATTCTCCATATCACTCAAAAAAATAAGGATTCATTGTAAGAAATTTCCTTTTAATCCCTCTGTCTCTCAACTGGTTCTTGATGTAAATTGCATGAGCAATGTTGTAAAAAAAAAGTCTGCATGTGCCTCTCTTAACACTTTATGAAGAGTTAAAACTTTAGAAGTTCCCATGTTTATCACATACACTTTTTCCAGTTTAAGTAGTTTCCCATTTAAATAGAATCAATTAAAAAATGTTCTTGTTGGATTAACACTTTGCTTATAATGTTATGAGATTGTAGGGCACACTTAATGTAAGGATATGGCTTCTAAAACTAGATGGGAAAAACAAATGGGTTTAGTTAAATCATTTTAAATTAAATGTTATATTCATTTTCTCTTTTAATAACACAAAAGGCACCTTTCACCTTTCTCTATAATTTTTATTTCCTCACATATATGTCCCCCAGATTTAATTCACTGAAATATCCATTTACATAGAAGATGCAACACTATTGGAAGTGTTCTCATACATTCATACATTCAAGAATATTCCTTGAGCATAATTCTGTGAATTAGAAAGAACTCTATCAGCAATCCCCACTTCCCAACATAAACTATTATTTTCATGATCTTAGTTTTTGGAAATAGTACAACTAAGAGCTTCTAAAATATTTTGTTTGCCATTAGATTTTTTTTTAACCAGTGATAACTACACTGGGAACATGTCATCTGCATTGTACTTTACTTTCTAACTGAAGAGATTTGTGTGTGCATATATATATATATATATATATACACACATATGTAGAATTAGTCAGTCTTACATACTTTTTTCAAAAGAGTATCCTACCTCTAAAAGTGTTAATCAAGACTGAAATGAAACAGGTAAGCAAGCTGGTCAACAGCTTCTCTTGAGAATTTTCCAAGGGTTTCTGATCAGATGCACGTATAACTCCCACTGCATGGATGCATGTGTGAGTGTTTTTCTGTAGTGAAATATTTTATTGAAATTTTAAAGATCATTTTGAATGGAAACACTACTTTGTGTGATATTGCAGAGTGAAAGCATTTCTATTTCTGCTTCTTGGGAAATTAGCCTTTTCCTCTCTACGTAATACCTTAGTTTTTCTTTCTTTTTTAACCATCTTCTTGACTTCTCCCTTTGGACGGAACTGCATCTAAAGCAAACACAAGAAAAGCTCCCAAAATCACTTACTTGTACGACATGAATTCTATTTAAATTATCCAAAGTTCAAATTGTTCATAATAAAGATCAGCCCTTGCTTCTCTTTGCACAAATAAGCGTCTAATAGAAATTACTCTAAGATTTTTAAAATCCTTTTTTAATGTAATAAACCTCATGAATGTAGCATGCTAAGCTTGCTATTTTATTCCACAGAGAATAAAAAAGAAAAAAAAATCATACAGACCACAACCATGAGATCAAAGTCTCTGTCTTAGAATAACAAACATTGAATACAATTATACTCAGTGGATTTAGCAGTCTTATCTGTGGTTGAAGATTTTTTTCCCCTGTAAAACAATAAGTGAGAGGGAAACAATCCAGTGTCATTTCATATTTCTCAGGGTAATTCTCTCTTCAAAATATTAGAATGTTAGAATGTTGTCCACTTCTGTGAATCTGCAAGTGTGACTTTCACGATGAACAAATGGATCACAAAAGTGGGAGAAACATTTCCGGTCCAAGGTAGTTTATACAGATAGACCAATTTAGAAGAAATGAAAGCATTAGCAATCTTACATGATTGAAGTAATCCAACATTAGGCTCTAAATCATTGCACTTAAAAAAAAGGTTTGGTCATTTTGCAGATCTGTACGTTTTTTAAATATCAAAATTATTCTAGGCATATAGTATATTAGAAGATAGTCAATCACAATATTTAGAAGGTGACTTTTGAAAATCTATTCTATGACTCTAGAACTCAGAAGGATCCAAAAGGATCGCTACTTCAATTACATTACAAATGATTGTCTTCATCCTTTTTTTTTTTAGCATCTTGAACTTTCAAAACATGAGAAATTTTCCATTCTGTTTCGGATCTCCTGTTTTGTTTTGTTTTTTAAAAAAAACAGGATCTCTATTCTGTGATTATATGGAATCCAGTTAAAAATTTGAGCCATTATATTTCTGCATTTCACTAACCCAGTGGTTCCCAACGTGGGGCCCACGCCCCACAGGGGGACAATTTGATTTTTAATGGAGGCAATTATATGTCACCTGAGGGGGGGGTCAGGATTTTTGAGATGCTTAGGTGGGGTATGGCCAAAAAAAAAGTTGGGAACTACAGCACTAAACAATTGCATCTGTTTGCTTTCACCTAAAGTTATATTGATCTTCACAGATACTGTATATCTTGTACTAGTTCAACCTCTTCCCAACTTAAATCAATTTTATTGTATTGTTTTCATTTGATTGTGAGTTAAGAGTGAATAAATAAAGAAAACTGTTTACAGAACAATTGTATAGCTTTTAGAGACAAACACTGTAAGATTTTCTGGCATCAACCTGAAGGAGAGACAAAAAAAACACATTTTTCCCACTTCTTCACTTGATGGACAGAAATCCTTTATCGGCTGGAATACTATTTTCTAGTATGAGAGCAAAGGGCACCCTGTACATGCTTTCTTTAATTCTTTTTTTAAAGTTAACAATGTTTTTAAAGCTTCTATATCAAGGGTGTCAAACTCAAGGCCCAGGGACTGATCCAGCCCACCGAGTGCTTAGATCTGGCCCACCGGGCCATCCTGGAAATAGTGAAGGACTAGCCCGCGGTGCCTCTGCCAGTAAAAACAGAGCTCTGGAGGGTTGCGTGTGGCCCACCCGAGCTCTGTTTTCACTAGCAGAGGGTTGCAGGAGGCTGTTGCAGCCGAAAATGGAGCTCTGGACCATTTTCACTGGCAGAGCACTCAAGCCACCATAGGCACCCCCGACATGAGTGACATCGAGCTGGCCACACCCACCCTGGCCCCCCAGGGCCAAACACAACCCTGATGCGGCCCTCAATGAAATTGAGTTTGACACCCCTGTTCTATATCATCAGCTTCTAAGGAGTGTTCAAAAAATGAACTAAAATAGAGAAATTGAATGAATATCCCCAGTACTACTGTGTCATTTTAAAATAAAATGTAAATTCTCTATCTCTCCCCACCACAGCCTATATGTTCTTTTAATTGCTGCCATTATATATTTCCCAATTGGATCATTCCTTCGGACGTTTAAGGTTCAGATTCAATAAGCAAAATTATTTGTTTTTATTCAATAAAGCATTTTTTCCCCCTTAGCTTTATCATATGTTGTGTCCCCAAATGAGAACTGCCAACATTGTGCAAACAGGCAAACTGTGCAGGTTATAAAACTAGGGACCAATGATTCAGATTTCACAAATACCAAGATTACAGGCTGAAGAAGATAGAGTATTGAACTGTAAGTTTACATTTTGAAAAGCTTTCTCTATGTTAATGCAGAGAGAGGGCAGAATTATAAGTTATATTTGAAAGAGCTGAATTAGGGAAGAACTATGATTTGCAAACATTTATGTCTTTTATTGCGCGGCTTTGTCTCTGAAATTGGATGCAGCCGAATTGAGGTAGTGCAGTCCCTCCTATAGAAAATTCTTCTTCTCCTGGCCTTGCTTTATTTTGGTTTCAATGACAGACACTCCTAATTTGCAGAAAGCATGACCTCTAGGCCTTCTCTCTTCTCCCTTGGGGAGGGCCAATCAGTCAGATTTCTCTATGTCTCCTTTGCTACCAGAGTATTTCAACTGGTTTCCCTAATTTCTGCTAATTCCCATTTCCTTCATAATCACAGGCTTTTATGTGACTTGCTGGCCAAGCGATTTTCAGTGGAACGACAATTGCTGCGGGTCTTAAACATTAACCCTGCCAGGTGTCACTGCAGGAATCACTTTGGCATTTGATTAATGAGACCAGAAGAAAGAAAAGTGTTTTTAACTGGAACTTCTGTTTTTCTTCTTGTTCCAAAGACCTATTTGCACACTTACAAACATACACATATTAACATCTCAAATGCCACTGAAACCATCTAATAGTTTTGTTGGCCAGAAAAAATGGTTATTTGAAATAGAGGAGTGTCTAGAAAGTCTAGAAAGCAAGAGTAGAGCCATGCCTTAACGATACATAAAACAGATTTGTATATCAAACAGGTTGCATTTTGTTAATTATATACAACTGGTAAACAATTACATGTAACCTTAAATGGAAAAAAATTGGAAGAAATGCATTGGTCTTAGCAAATGCACTTATTTTTTATCAGATGCTTAATACATCCATACACAGAACATCAACAGTACGTACAGCTTTGGTTTTTTATTCAGAGAAGTAAACACAGTTCCACACAGTGCAGTGAAACTTACTTCAAAGTGAATCTGTATTGAATCAGGTTATCAGACCCATTGATCTAAGAATAAAATGCTCATATCTATTAGCATCAGGGAGATATGAGATCATTTACATTTTCCAAACAGCACCTGCAAGTTATAGTCTTGTAAAATGAAGTCTTATTTAGTTCTGGACAGCTTAAAATGCAGTTGTTGTTTAACACGAATTTTATAGTAATAAAATTCTATTTTATAGAATTATTATTATTTTATTACTATTTATAGTAATAATAAAAAGAGTCTGATATGATCAGCATTGGATCCTCATTTGTTCATATAAGGCTTATTCAGTCGAGCTACAAATTTCTGGTGCAGCTATTGGCAATAAAAGATCTCTTTGTTATGCATACTTCTACCTAATTAAAGACTGAATACAAAGTGTGCACTTTAACTTCAGTGCTTTCAAAAATATAACATTTTATTGCCCTTAGATCTGTTTTAATAGAGTGCTATCCTTGAAAACAAAATCCCAAGCCACCCCCAATTTGTTTAACAAAATGTCCAGGAACCAAATACATTTATATATAAAAAAAAACTGCAATCTTTTACTTGCTGTTAAGATCATATTAGAATATAATAACCACAGATTTGCTATATGCTACTGACAATCAATTTAATCATTTTATTAGGAAGATCACCTTGAATATTTTAAGCTTTTGTTCTTTTAAATGCATCACCCAAATTTAGTTATTCATTACCTGAACAGGAAATTACTATGCAAATAAAATAATGATTTTGTTTTGTCCAAGTTTAACGTTAGAGTTAGAACTTTGTTCTGCACCTGAATCCTATTATGCTTTTTCTGTTTTGTCTGTTCTGCTTACTGTTGTGGGAGTTAGGATACACTGAGAGCTTGTCCTTGCAATCCACTAACTGTAGCAATAGGTAAACCTTCTGAAAAATTAAAGGGGTTTAGTGAATAACAAGAGATTTCAATATTCAATTTCAGAACAGTATTAACACCTAGACTCCTGTGGGGATTCCTCTTCCTATTTTAATTTGGAATAGAACACTGCCCCCCTCCCCCGGTCTCTGTGTGTATATGTGTGTGTGTGTTGGAATTTGGCCTTGAGCATTTGTATCCAGAGCAGAACAGGAAATTATAATAGAAATTGGAATTAAGTTTAAATTACAGCATTTCACAGCAAATGATTATTCGAACTATTTGTTTCAGACATTTTTGATGTATATTTCCTGTAGATTTGGCTCAATCTGTAATAAAGAAAGCCAAAGCTACAAATGAAGATTTATTTGTAACAAGATTTACTACTAATAAGAATGCAAAGTTGACAACAGAAGGGACAGAGGTAGAGTGGGGTATGGAAAACCACAGTTAGTGATTTCTTGTCTCTAAACTGTCTAGATACACATAATAATACAGCTCCAGATGAGTGCTGAAGGGACATATGTCATTTCAATTAAGCATATAATAATTTTAGTTGACATTTTAAAACATTCCATGGAAAAGCATTTGATATATAATATGGGGATGCCAATAAGAATACACTCTTAATACATTGCAGATTACATGTGATCTTAAGTTTAAGATTACCATTCTGCAGAAAACTAATTGAAGCAGACGTTTCTCCTGTCTACACTGTTTGCATTGCCATCTTTTCAAATGCAAACTTCGAAATCTTCTTCATCTGATATGCATAGAGGAGGAATGGTTTTAATTTTTCTAATTCCATTGCAAAGATATTTAAAGGTTTTATTATTAAAGGGGCAGGATTTACATTTGCTTTGGTTGGTTTTA